AACAGTATTGCTGTGATAACCCTCTGAGAACCCCATCTCCTCCTGAGTTACTGTTATCCTTACTTTAGCTGGGAGATTTTGAGAAGAAACTGACTCTCTGAAGAATTTGGTTGAAATTAATCATTATTCACCAGGGCAAATCCAAAGCTAGCATCCCCTCTGGACAACTAATGGTTCATAGGTTTTCACCAACAGTTGGAGGCAGTGACTTGCCAGGATACGTAGCTGTGTTCAAACTATACATGATGATATTTGTGATGCCTGCTTGAATCAAATTGTTCCTTCTCTGCGTTTGTTCATAATAACGACAACAGCAGTCACAGCTGGGAAAAGTGAATTGTAGTTTGTGTCTTCTGTACAGAAAGTGTTTAAATATTTATCTCTGATGTATGGCTCTAGAAGAAGCAGCTCTAAGATCTCCTGCTGCACTGTATTGTATCCGACACCTCAGTGTTGAATAGAACATGTGCTTTCATGAGCTATAAAGAATTACTATTTCTATCACTTTTGGACACTTCATGACTAAAATGCTGGAGCTGTTATCCTATTATCCAGCAACACACACTGTACGTAAATGAACAGTTCATCCTTGGCCTTGGAGACCTTCTGACAAGATCAAAAGAACCAGCTGAAAATAGTGCAAAGGAGGGCTTTAAGCTGAGGAGGAAATGACTCATGAAACAACATCAACAACAACAAAAGATACCACTTGCAGCCACTGATTTCTGAGAAACTGGCAGGTTAATCTGTCATTATTTTATGTACATTATTTTATGTACATATATAGTATATGTTTTTATTGTTTTAATATAGCACTGCTGCAAGCAGATGCATAACTGGAGATCTCTCCTGCACACTGTAGCAAGCAATAGGGGGCTGGACCCCAAAATTGCTTTCAGGCAGTTTTGAGCAGAAAAAAGTCCTTGTCTGAGTACTATTTTCAGACTAAGACTCTAAAATTTCAGCCATAGCATGCAATGCGTGAGACGGTTGTCATGAAAAACATTCCACGTTATAAACTACTACTCTAAAAGCACCAGAGATTGGGCCAGGAATCCAAGCCCCAAGTGATATCAAATGACTTATTATGCTATTTCCTTCCACCAAAGAAATTACATCTTGCAAGAAAAACCAAAACAGATACCTGAAATTAAACAAATTTGGTCTGGCAATTAAACAGACGGTATAAGAGCAAAAAGAGGCTGTGAGGAAAGATGGGTTAGGTTTATGCTTTATACTGACACACTGCTTCCCTCCTTGATGAGCCTGAGAAATATTGCTGTAATCATCATATCAACATTTTTTTGCCTTCCAGTAATTATGCCACTGTATAATTGAAGCTAGAGAAACTGATGTAAGCACAACTCCATAAAATATAATAAGAACCCACGGGTGGAAGTTAAAAGTAGTGAAAATCAGTCAAGAAATAAAGCACCATTTTTCTTCTTTATCAGAATAATTGACAAGGACTGAGGTAAATCCTCTGTCAGTAGCTATCTTTTATTGTGATGTTCTTCCAGAAGATAAAGGCACAGATTCAGGGAAGCCCTACAACTTGAAGTAAGAAGGGGACAGTCTAGCTAACTGCAACGATACTCTGACTTCATTCGCTAAGAGTAGGTTAAGTACCTGGAAAAACAGTCTAAGTCAAATACCTTACCTTGCAAAAGCTAAATATTTGAAAGTTACCATAGCACCTCAATATTCCCAAGATGTAACACAAGAGGACAGGAGAGGAACTTCTGAAATACAGCCTCCAAATGCAGTCACCACAACGCACACCGCTCGACCCTGGCAGGAAGCCGACGGCCACCTTCTTCAGGAGCGCAAGATAACAAATTTCGGGGACAAAATGTCTCTCCTTCAAGCCAGTGGTGCCACACTGGAACTGCTGGCTCTTGATCAAAACTAATAGTAAGCACAGAAATATGAACTGCCAAACTGATCATTGCTGAACAGCAAGCAGCTCTCCTAGAGGATGTATGAACAACAGAGCTTTATGACCAGACAGAATAAGCACAAGGAGGACCACGGTAGCTCATCCAAGCACTTGAAGCACATGCTGGGAAGGACACGATGTTGAGAAATTCAAGCCTGATAAATTTCCTACCACTGAGCCAGGAAGTGGAGGGTTGGAGGAGGAAAATATTGCTGTCCCTCTCAAGAAGGTATTACATAAAGTATAACCACGCATCTAGAGTATTTCACCATCCCCTTACATTTCACTGTGGCATTTATACCTGCGCGTAAAGTACCACCATTACAGGCTCAGCAGAACACAGTATATCCCTGGAGAAACTGTTCTCCAGCCTGTGTTTTTCTCTCACAGGCACTTGACCCACAAATACTGACTCACTGGGTACAGGGCAGCTCCTCACTTTCTCAGCTTTTCAAGCAAACACACAGATTTCCCTATCTAAAATCCATAGTTCTACCAGCCACAGGTTTTCCCCCTTCCTCCCATTTACACACATAAATCAAACCAAGGTTCCAGCTAAGTCAAGTCCTGCCATTACTGGGATGCAGCATTACACCATGACTTTGCACGAAGAGGTCCATGGCAGGAATCACCTGCACTAGCAATGGGAAGATCTTCCCCCAGAGTGTCCAGAAGCCATCCAATGTGCTTAAAACTTGGAAGGCACAGACCCGCCACGCTGCTGTAACAGCAACCTTATCTTGTGCAAGACCCTGGTTTACCAGCAAAAATCCCAGCTCAGTTCTCGGTGGAGCACAGACTAATGGCTTGGGAATAGTGAACCATAAAAATGATCAGCGCGCACATCTCAATCCTAACAAACCAATATGTACAGAGCCTGTAAAGTCTCCTCTGAGAGCATCAGTTATACTCGTACATCTGATTTACATTTTTCAAGGAAATAATTGAAGCTATTCAGCTTGTTCCAAAGGCCAATGGGAAGGAGAAAACCCTCAAGACACCTATGTGGCAGCTTTGCAGCAGCATGAGACTAAACAAATGGAAAAACCTAAAATAGGTTGCGACAGTTTGTCATTAATCAGTATGAATTACTTGGCAGAATGCAGTATCTTTCAGTGCAACTTTGTGGCACCTTTCCCAAAGAACTAATACAAACACGAGTGCATAGCAAGAGGTTCAGGGAGCAAGGGAAAAGGGATGTCATCACTGATTAAGTTGCTGATGGCAGGAAACAAAAAATGAGGCTACATAGGGCAGGACCTGTGTGGCTGAAAAACATGACTGGCATGTTCCAGCTACTTCATTTGGCAAGGTTAAATTCACCACAGAAGAATCATAATCATACTACAAAACACTGAAGTCTTACGAATTGCCTGCTTGCAGTCAGACACCACCTCTCCACCAGGATAGGGAGAATACTCTGAACCCTTCCTCTTGTATTCATAAAAGAACATTACTGTTGAACATATGATGGTATGAGGATATAAGAAAAAGAGAGAGAGGCGTTATCTTTGTTTAGAGCCAGATATAAATGGAAAACTGCAGACAAAGCTTCCAACTCAGGCAACCTCTATCAGGCCTACAGAGAAGCCCTTGTGCTGGCAGGTCCTGGCAAAGGATCTAAGCATCCAAACTATTCAATTTTTCCAACTAGATGAAATGGTCTAATACAAAAGACAATTTACGTATATGGATTTGGTGATCCAAACATATAGTAATCGTCACAGTTTTAGTGAACTCTGATTTAGACTCTTGAATAGCTATCAAAGACATTTTGCTTTGACCATCAAAACTGGCTTTCAGAGGTTACATAGACAGCAGCAGACCTCCTTCCTATATTTGTATATGGACATACCTGTAATATCTTAGATCCTGCTTATGATTGTCTTTTGCATAAGGTAGTTTTGCATTTACATGTGTCAATAAATACTTGGATCGTTTACTCATTTTTTGCATACTTAAAAGGAAGAGACAAGTTCTAATGTGTTTCAAGCCATCATTTTCATTGCTATTAGATTTAAACAGAGAAGGTAGAAGGTTCAGCAAATGACCAGACTTAAGACCTTGCATTTGCAAGCCTAAAAACACGTAACTTCAAACAAGACAGGCAGAGAAGGTAGCTGGAATGAGTAAAAAGCACCAGGCCAAAGTACTTCAGACCCGTCCCCAACCCTGCTGGAATCACTGTCACTACTACTTTTGTCCAAAAGATATACAACAGTCTTTAAATTCTCAAGAAGAATTAAAAAACCAAATTGGAAATTCAAAACAAACTGAAAAACAATTTATGGCAGTTCTGTCATGCTTATGTGTGAAAACCCACGTTAAAATGGCTAACTGTAGCTTACATCTCCCAGCAACAAGAGAAAAGGAGTAAGAACTTTCCTTGCATAGCAGTGTTAAAAGATAAACCTGCAAACAAGATAAAATTATCCAGATGTTTGAAAGGACTTTGAGTTTGATCAGTGAAAGAAAAAAACCCCAGAGACAGTGATCTGAGTGAAATCATCAGACATGAAAATGAAAAGCGGATTGTCCCACATTTGCATTGCTCCAATCAGTTCACACATTCTTCATTCATGTAAAGGAGGGTACTACTACAAAATCTGGAGCTGTGACAAGATAAGCTTTCCATGGACTGAGGACCCACAAATTAGAGAGCATTAATCATTACTAATGCTTTGTGAACAGCACTTGTCAAATACATGAGCAATTGCAAACACCTACACAGAGCTATCCAATGCCACAGCATGAAGATAGCTAAATAACAGACATCAAAAGTCACCTCTGACAACCATGCTTTGAACCAGCCTTGTCGTGAGACTTCTCCATACAGTGATAAAGAAGGCCATTCCATGCAAAGGATGAGGTTTCAACACTTTAGGTATCACTTCTTCCAAACATAGCGGATAAAGTGTTTTAACCTGCAGCAGCATAAACCACAATTTAGCTAATCGGATTTGTAGAAATTTCTCTATTCTCTGTCTCAGGCCCTAAGTTTAGTGAACAAAACAGTAATAAGCTCTTTCTGTCAAATTACAGAAAAATATACTGGACTGACCTTCCATTGCTCCTTGGGAAGCAGTTTCACTACCACGATGTCACCATTCAGGGCTCTGTTGCGAGCAACCACTCCATCAATAAAGATATCACGAGTCCCATCCTAGTCAAAGAGGAAGAAAAATAAATGCTAGACGAAAACATATTGAATTACGGTTGTTACGAGGTTTAAAACAGTCATCAAAAAAACCACACACCCTGGTGAGACAAACATCCTGCAGTTGTGCACAGAAATGAAATGGATTCACCATATGCCCTTCAACATGCAGTATCTTTCAGCAAATAAGCTCCTTTGTATGTATGTGCCAGCACAGTAGTTCCACACTATTTATTCAAGACAGAGCCAAGCCCTCAAGATGTATTGTATGCAAGCTCTGCTCAGTTCCTCTACAGTTACTCTTGGGAATGGGTAGAGAGTTTTCTGCAGTCACAGCTCTTCACACATTAAGTTCCCAACTCAAGCATGTGAAGCATTGTTCAGAACATGTTTACAAGACAGTCTCTGCAAAGTGCCCCATGCAGAGCTGCCTGCTGCTCTCCCAGTGAGATGGGAAAGCAGGGACACACGGCTCTCGGATCAGCAGGTCAGTCTGCGAAGGTGGCCTGGAGCGTGGCTGGGGATGCAGTCTCTGTTTTTTTTAAATGAGTTAACACCATATATTCTGCATTTGGCACAACTAATGTTAGAAGAGATTCCAAAAAATTATGACTACAGATGCCAACTGCAAGCCAGAAGATCTTTTACTGTAACAGACATGTTAGGACACCTTCTCTAATAGTCTGGGTTAACATCCTTGCACAAGAGTCTCTACTAATTGTACACACTATGATTATCCACCCCAGACGTGTCTGGCATTCGGCTAATCTAGATTTAGTTTGGAAGATTTTCCTCATGGGGTGAATAAAGATGCAGTTTCCTGAAGATGCCACACAAAGGTTTTAGTTTTTAAAGGATTGACAATTTTGTCCTTTTTTTTTTGGCTAATTATTGACAGTGCTCTTTCTGCTTTCATTGTTGTTTCCCCACAATTCAGTATATGAAAAATTCCATGTGTCTGTTTACAGTGCCATGAATGTGTCAAACTGTGAGCATTTAGTATCAACATGAGCAGTCGACATAGTTTTTCTAGAGAGAGATATCTTTGCATAGTTTTGAGGTACAAAAAAAAGAGGATGAGTTCTTTAGATTAGCACTTCATTGTCTTTCAATGAAAAAACCAGCCTCATAAGAATTAAAATCTTAATCACAACTTTAGTAGCTTCTCAGATACACACTCCTGAGTCTCATATGCTTGAGTAAATCCAATCAGAACTACCAGTGTGCTCGGTCTCCAAGAAAAACTTCTTTTATAACCTGAAAACATGAAGCCCTAATATCATATAAATATCCTACTCTGCTTAGATACCAAAACAATAAAACGGCAGAACCCTGCCATGATGTGAAACTAAGGCCATCCTCCAAGAGACCAAATTACTCTTAGAAAGAAAAGCAGCAGCAGCTCAACAGCTGTGTGAAAGCTGCCTCCCATGACAAGATGCAGAAAAATTGCAAAGCCTCTTGGACCAACACAATTCAAATTGGAAACTGTTCTTTTCAAAAAGCCAGATTTTTTACACATGGTCTTATTCCTCATTTGTCCCCACCCTCTCCCTTCTGCCCCAACTCTTTACCTAAATCCAGCATGTACATAAAAAGAAAAGCTCAAAGTCACTTTTTAAGGAAAATGCCTGCTTTTTTTTTTTTGTCTGTACCTGTAGCTGCTCTGTGCTGCAGGACACAGGCTGGCATTCATGATCATTTGTTCTACACTTTCTTTTCCTTCTCTCCTGTGTCCAAGAAAACACAAGGCAGACCCTTTCCCCCACCCCCTGTAAAGGTGCCTGATGTGTCACACCACCTAGTTAAAGCTGCATCTATCTCCATACTCTGCAAGAATCTTGTCTTGAATTGCAGCCAGTCACTCTCATCCCAAACAATACACCCCTATATATATACACACACACTTATATATGTGTATGCACACCTATTTTACAGCAGTTAATTTCAATGCCTCCAACAAAGCTGTAATTAGGAAATTGCCATCAGTTTTGGTTTTGCCTCCAAAAGAAACTTTTCTGTATCTTGAGCTCCAGGCTCACGATTGTTGGGTGAACTTATGCACTTCCAAGAACACTTGTGCATCCCACTTCTTCCTTCAGTGTCCCCTACTCTGCACAGCTGGCACTTCAGATTACTAATGCAATTAAAATGGCACCGAATCACAACAGAACACAATCGCTTCCAAAGTCTCAGCTGCCCCTGGGGTGCATATACTGTATTGGCCACAATGGCTTCAAGACTTCTGCAGCCCCCTCCAGGGAGCATGGGGCTTTTACTGCTCTGTGGCCACCGGTGAATATCACCAGCAGTGCTCTCTATCCCCCTTTGCCAAGAGGGAGACCTGCAGTGCTTTCACCTGCTCTGGAAGTGTCTCCCACAAGCAAGCACAGCACAGCTACAGTCACTCCATCACTTGTGCTCTGCAGTGTCATTCTTCACATTGACAATGCGGTCGTTTCAAACCACACTACTGTGTGCAGGGAAGACACAAGATGCAAGGCAGAGATTTAAATGCTTGAGTCCATTCTCTGGGGAGCTTTCAAAAGAATGGCCCTGGGCCTTCCTCTCAACTCTTCACGCAACAGTGAGATAAGCAGACAGGGTACATTTGCAGCAAGAAACACCCTGGGACTTCTGGTGTTAGAAGGTGAACAGCTGTTGCATTTGAACTCCATGAAGCCACAGCCAAGTCAGAGCTGAAGAGAAAGGGGTACAGCACTCTAGTCAACAGCAGGGGAGAAAGGGTGATTTTTCACAGCTGCAGCTCTTGCAGCATCTGGCAATGATGGGAAGTCCTGCAGAACACGAAGGCTGCAAACCCTCCATTATGGCAAATAATGTTATACAAAGGATAAGCTTCCTAAAGCGTCTGCCTTAAAGTGAGAACTGTGTCCACAACAGCCAGCGTCATCTTCATCCAGGCGTTGATTCTGCTTGTTATCAGGGACAAGACTGGTTCTGGTATTCAGCTCCACAAAGGGCAGAAAAGTAGAAAGATAGGTGAGACAACAACCTCAGCCAGCCCTCCTTAATGTATGTATGCAGAACAGCAAGTAATCAACTGCACAAGGCAACAGCGGGACACTAGGGGTGATTAGGGGTAGAGCTTCACAGCCAATTGAGTAACTGGATTTCTCATTTAACCTTGCATTTTGTAATTTCAGAGAATATGTTTAACAGCTTACACTTACCACACCTACAAGGACACCTGTAAAGGAAGCATCACTTCCTTTCACCTACACACACAATGCTGCTCTACTGGTGTACCAGAGAGCTGCTCTGTACTTCTTCCTCTACTTAATCTACTTTGTGCACCCCCAACCTTCCTCCACCCCGTAATGCCCACCTTCTCTAACAAAGTGGGCTCCAAAACATTATCCCAAATCAAGAACGTGAACTGATACCACCAGGAATTTCAAGGCTTTCAATTTAAGCCCCAAAACAATAGCACTGTCAGTAGCAGGGACAACAACAGAGTCAGTGTTTCACTGTCTCAGGGCAGGCTCTGCCATCTCTCCCCCACACCAACAAAACATTTCAGTATGAAACTCTCTCTCATTGATGGTAACATTTTGATGAAGTCAGTTCCAGATAAAAAGCCTTGGCTGTGCCAGCTGTGAGGTCACCTTCCCTACTGGAAGCCCCTGAAATTGCAAGAGCCCTTCTTTTCTGTCAAAATAAGGAAAGAAGAGAGAAGAGGTGCAAGCCAGTCCCATGTGACAGAAGCACATCCCAAGCCAACCAAGACACAGTTCGCGCAAAAGCGGGCACATGAAAAGGAATCACGCATATTATTTCTGGAATGACTTTTCAAATTAGCTCATGCAGCAGATCGAAAATGGAGAGCATATTTGTTTAGGGAAGATTAACTTAAATCAGTGGAAAATCTATAAAACCTCTGCAGCCATAAACCAAGGGTTTCCAGTTACACTATTTGGTGGTCCTCAAACCTGACTTCAGCTGGCTTCTGTGGGACCCAGCAGTATCCCCCATTTCAGCATAAGCTAAGTAAGTAGTTCTTTGAGGTATGAAAAAGCAGGATTTGTTTGGGAATATTTGATTTAAAAGAAAATCCAAATCGTGTTCATTTATTCCAACTCATTCACCTCTGAGTGACCTTTTATGCACAGCATAACTCCTATCTTAATGCACCTTTACTTATGAACTTTAAAGCATTATAAAATTACACTTACTGGAGATGGAATGAAGGCTTCATGATACTTCTTAGGATTTATTCTCAAGGGTCCCTTAAAAAAAAAGAGAAGAAGGAGAAAGATTACGCCTGAATCTTATTAATTTTATATAACATCAGTTAAATTAGAGAGCTGTGGGTAATATATCTACTGTGAAACATGAGAGATACATCTAAATTTCCATTATACATTTCAAGTCTTGACAACTTAGCATCCGAGCAATTTCAAGCCAAAAGGCAGTTTCATGATAGGCTTAAGCTGATCTACTGCAGTCTGTCATCGAAGAGATGTTGAATCATTAGTTGTTGCTGCTACTGGGTGAACTGAGGATCCAAGCCCTCCTGCTCCCTCCACTCATTTTCTGCTGAGCATCCACCAACTTCGTTAACAAACAGACAACAGAAACAACTTGTTTTGCTCTGTTCTGGAAAAACAAAATGTTGGTTTTGCTTATTTTGGAGAACAGGAAGAAAGAGGAAAAGCTGACCTGCTGAGCTTGCATGGCAGCAGGTATCAGCCTCATGGGGCTCTGGCTGCTTAGGCTGTTCCCGCAAACAGACAGTAGCAGTAACTCTGTGATAAAGAACACTTCCAAAGAAGAATCAAAAGGATTTTCCAAAAACAAACACTTAAAGTCTACAGGATTAAACTCTGTTTAAACACGTTTAAAGTCAAACCGTCTTAAATACATTTGAAACTCCATGGTCTATCTATTCCTGCTTTGTTATCTGCCAACTCAAAGCTCAAGTCACCTGCAACAAATTCATATCACCCCTCCAAAGTAAATCAACCAGTTTTGCTGCTTGCACTCAGGTCCATCCAAGAGAAAGGGAGAGCCAACCAAGGACTTACAGGCTATGTTCCCATCCCAAGAGGGTCCTGGGAATTGTGATTCACACGACTGCAGTTAAAACTGACAGCATTTGATTATTATGGAAATACAACTAGGTATCTGCCTTCAGACAGGCTTCTGCTTTGGGCTGAAACTTTAAAACTTTCTCCACTTGTGTATTTGAAATAACGTTGGCCAATTTGTTATACGAACAGATTCCATCTGTTTGCACTTCTGTGTTAAGCAATCATAGGAACCTCTCACAGGAATTGCTTCCTTAAAAATTTACTGCAGCATATAATTTTTTTATGTATTCTGGGAAACACTCAGACGATAGGAAAATAAAGCTGATTACATGTGAAAGTTTTGCTGCCTTGAAAAAGAATTTGCAGATTCATGAAGGTTTTCCATTGTTTTTATTTGCTTAAGTTTGGAAATACCAGCACCATGTATTCTATATTCTTTAGGCATTATTTGAATATTTTGCTGCGATGTCTTATTTTATGCCTATTGTAACTAGTATTAATGAGCACACTAGCCACATGGCAAGCACAACCCAGGACAATGGCACAAAACCAAAGACGACCCATGCGGAACAACCCTGGGGGATACTTTATGCTTAGGCAAAGTGAGAGCTAACTCGCTGTCATCAGCCTCTGTTAGCACTGGTACCCACTGATGGAAAACTCTCAGTGGTCTTTTTTCTCCCCTTATTTCCCAGAATCAGCCATCAAAACCAATATGCTGTTAGTAAAGGAAGCTGCTACGGAGAGAAAGGAAAAAATGAAAAGGGATGGTTGCTCTGCTTGACAACAAGTCAAACAATTCCCATACCAGCATCTACCCACCAGCACAAAGCAGATGAGAGGATATCCTGTGTTACTTTGCAGAATCCCCTTGAATAGTTTGGGACAGCTGTCAATCAGCCAGGTGCAAATGCCCATTATGCGCGTGAAAAATCAGGTTTTGTGTCCATGGCCCAGAAGGCGCCAGAGCGGCGATGTGCACATGGATGCCCAGCTCCAGCAAACACACAGAGGAGCTAAGTGTTACCACGTTTACCATGCAGTGGGTTTCTCTACATTTTATATGCACTACCTCATTATGATCAGCATTAGAATTCTTACGTCAAGTAGCATTAAAATACTTCAGCTCTTTCCTTTAAGCAAGGAACTCGCAAAATTTATCTTAGAAAGCAGATGGGCCCTATTATCTGTGCCTATGAAAATCCTATTTACAACGTTGTACATTTCACGCTGTGATATCATATCTGGAACCAGTCACTCTCCCCATCTGCAATGAACAACTGTTCTCATATGTGTATTAGGGGGTGAGGATCTGGCTGCAGAGTCTCATGATGTCACACTAATGTTGTATTATTTTACAATAGCTTGCAAATAATAGCTACTATATTTATCAGTGTTTTTATGTCAGTAAGGCCTTTGTTTTGAAAGGGAAAAGAAAGGTTTGCAGGAAGGTTTCTAAAACACTTTCCGATGATTCAAGTCAGCTTCACACATACTTGCCAAAAAAGTTTTGAGCTTCCCCAGCAACATACAAAAGGGTCATGTTTTCTCAAGTGGCTCTGCTAGAACCAGGGCAGGCAATACTCAGACTGAAGTATCTTCAAGCACCTCAAATCAAGCAGTTTGTAACAGCTATGGTAACACGTATGCCTGGACTCGTTTGTATGTACAAAACACCAAAAAAGGTCAGGGTTCAAGTAGCTGCTTGCTACCAAGGCCACCTTTGAAAAAACAATCCATGAAAATCAGAGAAACCCCAGCCTTCATACCCACAAAAGAACAGCTTTCCAAGGAGAAACGGCCTCTTAACGACAAAGCAGGCTCTGCACCTCTGTATGCTGCGCTCTCTCGCTCCGCCTGACCCCAGCAGCCCTGCAGGGAGGGTCTGGGAGACGCTGAAGGCATGGAGCAGACAAGAGTTTCTGGCTGGTGCTTCACAGGATGATTATGGTCCTTTGGGTCGATGTTCCTTAATACGTAACCTGACTTCATCTGTTGTGTATAGCCACACCATCCGCTTACGTAACTACAGAGAAGTTATTCAATCTTGTTTGCCTTCAGACCAGACGATGTGATTCGAACCAGCCTCATATGCTTGGTGTTTTCTCATTGCAGTTTTACAGGCAGGGAAGTGGGAAGTCTACACGCTCTTAAGTGCCCGAGCTCAGATCCCATTTCTTGTGGAAAGACACTTCCGCACACGTCGCATGATTAAATGAATCCAGGAATCCCACAGGGCACACTTCTCCGTGCTACTTATCAAAAACTGAGTTATGTCAGACACAATACCAGAAGCCGTTAAGACCAATATTATTGACAGACATCAGCACCCATAAAGATAACATTTTTGTTCTTCCTGATCTAGGACTGCTTAATCTTCACAGCACTCATGTTTTATCTGAGTAATCTCCACGTCTGCCAGTAGATTCTGTGGGCTGGGCTTTCAGAAGCATTTAGTTGTGTAGCTGCACTGCCAGGGTCCAGCAACATCCTCAGAGTTCACGGTAGGGTCTTTTCTCTCTAACAGATCTCTCAAGTTCTCACACCAATACTTGCAGATCCAGTGTTTCCAGGATGCTCCAGGGGATGGCCCCTGCTCAGAGAGTCATGCTTCTGTCTGGCTAGCACTCAAGTTTACTCAAGACCATCAGATTCAGACCAATAGGTTTGTTCTTCTCTTCCACAGGCTCTTGTGGAGCATTTTTGCAGGTTACCATGCCAGACCAATGCCCTGCTTTTGGGGATTAACACAACAGGTATTTGTTCACTATGTCTCTTGCCATTGTACAGAACAGTGCTGAATATTTGTCTGTTCACTAAAGTTGCTTTCAGGATCTCACCTATCCTCATTGAGACTGCAATGATAAATGGTCTTGATGAGATCATAAGGATGAATGAGCTGAAGATGAGAGATACTGAGCTGGGATGCCCATGATCTGACACTCAGCCCTAAATGATTAAATCCAGGTTCTACAGCCTCAACTGTTTCCCTGAGATGTGGAACTGGATGAAAGGAAAACAGATACAGGCTAAGAAAGCATGGATGACTCTCCCAGTTATGCAGCACATGACCTGGAGTAGACACTATGCATTTACAAGAATTAGGGATTCTTTTGCCAGACAGCATGCAATCACAGGTCCTCTGGGACTCAGCATTTCAATGGGATTCTCAGGTAGTAGTCATAAGTCTGATGTGCCTCATCTGCAGCTGCACTGGACCTCATAGGTAGTCTACACATGCTGCACTTAATGCTCTCAGGCTGTGTTATCAAAAACAGGTGCCAAAAACACTCCTGAAGGTAAGGCAGAAGCTTTAGTTGCTGCCATATGCCACTGCAGCCATGGGGGCAAGTCGCAGCTTGAGGTTCCCATTTCTTCCCTCACCATTTGCTTCCCATTGTGGATATCTATGACAGTCTTTAAAAAGGTCTGGGTAGCCCAGCGGACCGCTCTGATCATCAGCAGGGATGTGCCGCATAGTCATTTTTCTGAAAGCTAAGAGCTCATCAGATCGGCCTTCAGGATGGAATCAGGCAATCTTATATCTGGAATCCTCATCACACCTCCAGAAATTATATTATTGTATTATATTATTCTATAAGAATTACTATACAATTATAACAAGAAATCAGAGAAAAAGTGAGGTGATGCCATTTGCAGCTTCAATGTGCTGATGAAAGTAAGTACCACAACCTCACCAGCATTACAACACCAATTAAATGGCAATGCACCAGTGTGTGTTTGGGTAAACGATGCCTCAGCGTGAGTGTCTGTTATGCCCTCACTGACTTCCACTTGCCTTTTTTCCCCAGCCAGTCTGATCTCACTGAGACGCCAGGTGTGCCCTGAAGAAAACATTACATCATGTTGAGGACTGTACTACAACAGTGGTTCCAGGGTGCTATCCTCTTCTACTCCTCAGTGAACCTCAGCCCTGCCTGTCTTTATGCAAAACTCCTTCTGCAATCCAGCTACCCACACAAATCGCAGGTCCACCCCCACATTTTGCTAGATATTCAGAGAAGAACTGCTGCCTAATTATGACTGCAGTTTTGCGGCTCCAAATGGAAGCACAAAGTCCAATTTTGATCTTTAGAATCTGTAAAATGAGAACATGCTTATTGCTAGCTGTTCAAGGAAAATAACCATACACACACGCAAATGATTTTATGTATCTTGATGGGCTCTTCAGCTCCATCTACTATCTATGCCTTACTTCAGCAAACCATACGCTGTCATCAGTGGGTGGGTCAGCCCTATGACCTTAGAAGAGTGCAAAGAAAATTATGCAAGCAAATCAAGGGTCCAGTACCACTGCCTGGCCATTTGATATTAATTTAACCAGTTGCATCATAGTTTATAACAAGTTATTGCAATGCCCTGGTAGGCACAGCCCTATGAGACCCCAGGGACCACAGCATTACCTGCGCCATCCTCTCCCTTTTTTTTTGTGGGAGGGAGATTTCTGGGAGGAGTATGGATCAGGAATTTCACAGAACATGCAATCAAACCAAAAACTATACTTCAGCTGAATGTAAAAGATTTCACTCCACTTCTAGAACCTTCCGAGAAAGGGAAAAAAATCTTCCTCTAGCATCTACAAGTGGTACATCAATTCCCTGTCATGCAACCAGCTGACATTGATTTCCTAACTGCCTGTGATTTCCACAGACTTATCTCAAGAGCATGGACGTTGTATGTTCCAGGCACCTGAATTAGCTCTCCCTTTTTCAGTCCTGCTGAAACATCTTCTTTTGACATGTAGGCTTCAAATATACTCTTCTTCCTCCCTCGAGTGGGTTTATTTCGATTCTTTCTATCACCTGAGGTTGGGACAGCAGCATAGAATCCTCCTGCAAACAAAAATTCATAAGTGTTACCTTGCCCACCAAACTTGTCTATGTATCTAACAGCAGCTGTACAGAGGCTTTGTATTCAAAGTTGAACTTCTGAGAACAGTTTGCCTAGAAATACTGGCACCCGACTTCAGAGCACTGAAAAGCCTGGAATAATCATATTTTACAAATAATCAACAGTCTTTTACAGCTCATTTTAGAGTTAAGAGCATTCACCCCAGCCCATCTTTTAATAGTGCTGAGCACATGCTTCAGGGCAGTTTATTCCTGAAACGTGTACGCACTCTGCTTTAATACCTCTGGGAGTTCCCAGTTGTCTAGGATTTATTCTGCTGTCTGTATTGTTCATTGTTTCTGTCTGTGATTCAGAGAGTTGCCTCTTCCTATCGAAGTTCTGGGGAGTTCTTGCAGATTCAGAGTTGTTTCTGGTCCTTATAAACCCTCTCTTTTCTGCACCTGAAATCAAACACAGGTTTGAAATAACAGGGGAGGGAAGAGGAACCCCATTGCCAGCTTGTGGTCCTGGTGAAACTCATGGTCTGCAGTACTTCAGTACAAGTCACAACTGCGAGTCATGCTCTTTATCCAAAAGAAACGATGTCTTCGTTAGTTCATTTGTAATCTGTTGGCTCTTTGTGCCTCTTAATCCACCACTAACTTATTTTAGCATAAATAAAACTCTGGAAATTGCGATACTAAAGTTGGATACAACCTTTCCAAAATCCTGGGAAATTCATTAAAGCATATAAAATGTGAAATTGTTAAACTGTTTCCAAAACCTCCACCCCATTAAGCCCCCAAGTAGTGAGAAAATATAACTTCCCTACAACTTAATTAAGTAGTTCAGGAATCAAGGAGAGAAAAAAATTCTCAACAACCCACTCTGGAGTAATTAACTTTTGAGCTACCGGAGGCAGCACAGTACACAATGACAGCACAAAGAAATGCCAAGGCTCCAAATGTCCAGCCTGCTCAGAATAGGCCATGATCATACGAAAATATTCTGCACTCACCCCTTCCTTCCCTGCCATCACCTCAGCCCCTTCCCTACAGCCAGGAGAGCAAGCAGCAGCTTCCAAAGCTTATGCCAACGCTGTTCCACAGATCAGCACATTGGAATGCAACCCAGCGCCGCGCAGCTGCCCTCTTGGCCCTCCACCTGGATACTGAACATGTCATCACAGCTTTGCCTTCCAGCCCCTCCTGGCTATGCTCCCTGCGTCCAAGCTTGTACCTGCAAGTCAGAAAATGTGCAATGCCAACTTATTTGCTATGGGGCTATCCAAGTTACAAGGCAAATTTTTTAAGTATGGTATCTTTCACAAACAAAATCACAGATTGCTTCATAGAATTGAACTGAAGCAGTGAGAAAAAATGTTTAAAAAGCTGTACTTAAGCAGGGATCTTTAAAAATACAGTACAATAAGAGAAAACTGCTACTTTACCCAGTCACAGACAAAAAGCAACTTCCATATATAATAACAGGCAAATCAGCAGGAGGAGGGAGGGATCCTCCTAATTCAGGAGAGGAGACACCAAGACAGGCAGAGGGACAACGCAAGGTGCCGGCTCAGACCAGCCCAGGAAGAGATTAAATTGCCACAGCAGTGTCTCCAAACAGGACACTGAAATGAAGAGAGGGCCTCTGTGTTCAGTGACAATAAGGATGAGGGTGACATAGTTTGTGCTTTTTCTGCATGATCAAGCTTTGCATACTCTGCCCATACGTTCAGGGAGGATACTGTTGGAGGGAGGTTGCAGCTGCAACACAGCAAGAGTGCAGCTGCAAATTTAGGTTTCAACCAATGCAAACAAGGCAATACTACCTGTATGGACCACATGATGAGCCAGAACTAAAATTAACTGATTTGCAAATGCCTAATGAACTGATTTGCAAATGCCCTAAGGGTCGAGATCAAGTTCAAAACCAGACACCGAAAGTAAATGTATGGACTAGATAGATCTGAGCAAAATAGCTTTTGAGTTGGCAACACAGTTTGCTCTGGATAGGGTTTTCAGAGACATTTTGGTGAAGGAATCTCACTTAAACTGCAACAGCCAGGATCTTAGGAACACTATTAAAAAAGCAAGGCACTAGGCTGATCACCCAGAGAGGTCACGCAATCTGCTTCATTGGCAGTTCTTAATAGGTGAGACACACATCTGCCAGAATTGGTCTAAAAAGAGTAGTTTTTTCCTTGAGGTAGTGAAGTGGATTACACGAGCTTGTAAGGTCCTCTAAAGCCCTTGTTTCTATGACAGCAAGTCACAGAAAATACTACTATGAATTAAAGAACTCAGGATAAAAAGGAGGCTAAATCTTAACATGTAGTTAAGGAGGAGCCAAAAAAAAGAGAGCAGAAAATTAAAATGCAGGCGAAAAAAGAGAAAAAAAGTCTCGTGAGCTGGGAGTGAGCTGAGAGCCAGAATTAGCTACTGCAGAGCAGAGCTGCCCCAGCACTTGCCGTGGCCGTTGGTTCAGAAAGTTTAGGGCCACCACTGCCAAAAATAATGCACAGCAACAGCAAAGGGTGAAGAAGCACCTTTCCGTGCCGAAAGGTGGACACGCAGAGAGGTACTTGCATGTTTTCAACACTTAAGCCTTTGGCTTGCTCTCCGGTGGGATTTTTCATCCACTCAAAGAAAGAAATGTACTCAAATGAACAAACTCTGCTTCCACATAGATGGCTTGCAAGCCAGTTTACACACAGCCACTTTGGATAAGTACTTGACCCCCCTCGGCCATGATGTTTATGGTTAAACAAAACCACCCCTGTTACAAAGCCACAGACAACTGTCACAATTAGCATTCAGCTGGAACACATCAAATTCTGCATGACTCTAATTTCTTCTATTTCTCCTTTTAAAAGAAAGAGAGCTAACTAGAGGTTGCCATCTGTTTCAACTAGATTCAATATTTGCTTCTATAATGCACGTGTCCCCTGAAACTGGAAGTTAGAAATACTTCTCATGATGGGCTTTCCTGCTGTCACTGCTGCCCAGCATTAATATTCTGATGGATAAACAGACATCATTCCACAAAGCAAACTGTAACTTGACAACTCTCCAGATAGCAGGGGATATACTGAGACTATTCTTTCTGAAAATACTGCTATCACTAACTTAGTTTAACTCTATTCCAGCACGAGGTGTGTCAGAAGTCTGACTTTTTCTGTGGTGTTACAGTTGTGTGATTTGTAAGATATAACAAAATATTTTAAGGTAAGATGTCACACAAAGTAATAACACATTCTAAGCATTAAAATAATCAATGACTAAATAAATAAGTAAATAAATAAAATAAAAAATTAAAAATAACTCCAGTAGAAGGGCGGCTAAGGTGCAGTGACTGAGAGCTGAGGTTGGTTGATACATCCTAACAGGAGGGTTGAAGCAACCACAATGCACCAAACACGTCTGCACATGCAGAACCACTCAACCTTGAACGCAGAGCAATTCTAATGCAAGACACAGATGTATTCACAACACACAGCAAATGCCACATGTTTATCTGGCTGCACAGATGTAGAGCTGCTCTCTGTGGATGCAGCCACCACTTGCCTGGGATTTCTAGACATCCTGCCACTTCCAGTGGGAAATAATGCAGGAGTAACGATAGGAGGAAAGGTTCAGGACCATTCATTTTCTGAAGTCCTCTGGAGGGAGAAGGTTGAAATAACCCCAACACCTGTATCAGGCAAGGAGGCTGCCTACAAAGGTGACAGAGGGACACCTAAATAGGATCAGGTATTCTACACACAGAGCGGTGAACCGCCTCAAACTAGCCAAGGGGAAGCACCTGTGGGAAGTAGAAACACACAACCAGGAAAAAGAGCGGAAAGGATGGAGCTGGGGGCTGGCTCCAACCCAGGAGCCCAGTCCAGCACCCACATGCAGGCAGCAGCGGCTGGTTGAGCTCCACTGGAAGGACAGTGCTGGAGCTCAATCTAGAATCCAAACCATCACACTTCATCTCCGTCACAACAACAATGACATCATGCAATGGCACATTTTGGTCTTTAAACCTAAGTACCTATTAATCTTTTCTTATTTTGGAAAAAAAATGCGTGCAGGCAGCTTCCCAGAATAATTGATCTGGCTTACAGTAAGAGAGGAGGCTAGATGTTTTAAATCAGCTTATTTTGACATAATTTATACAAATCACTCTATAGTGTAGGTTTTGAAAAGTACTGCATTTGATTAAATTTACATCTACTAGTCAGTTGATCAACTAGATGGTCAACTAAATCAACTAAAATGTTCAACTAAACATGAAGTTAGCAAGGCCAGAAAGTCTTTAATTTTTATATTAAAATTTGCATATTGCTTTACACAAGAACAAACCAAGACCCTCAATTTTATTTAGGAAAAATAAAACATTTCCAACTGCCCTCTAACACCTCACAAGCTATTTGATTACTACCAGCACAGAAAGAAAGTATTCTTCACTGAATTTTCATCAGCACATCCATGACTCCTTGGATATATCCCACCCAGGATCCAGCAAGAACTAGTTTTACTTGAGAGATCTAAGTGAATTCCAAGATATGAACGTCTTGGTATAGCTTTCCCCTTTCCTGTCAAAGGGCATCTACCTTGTCACTAGGCATTTTTACCTCTAACTAAACTTCCAGCTTTGTTACCATCTACATTATTTATATTTAACCCAGCTCCCTGGGGTGGGCAGGACTGTGAGCGCATCACAACAATTGTGCTGGTAACACCTCTACAGGTTTAGGACTCTCACCCCACTGACAGCTATCTTGACATGTAACATTTCATTTTACATTTTAAAAAAAGGAATTATGTTGAAAGCGTTGGGCGGAACAATATTGTTACAAACTTTTCCAACACAAAATACTTCCATCTACTACTTACCTTTATCAGTCCATGACTGGGCATCAACCCCTCCGCTAACTCTGCCATTGCTAAGAGAATTTTCCATTGCTTCCCAGCATTAGATCATGATCTAGATATGCAAAGGAATCTTTCAAGTACCCCTGCTTTAGAGCTAGCATAAGTGTGAGAAGAAACAGAAGCATATCCCCAGAACTGATAACATGCAATAGAACAATTTGTTATCAGTTAATGAGACACTCTCAACACATGGTTACTAAATATTTGTCCATATTTCTACAATGTTTCATTTCATTGCTGACACATTTCAATGACTTAAACCAATTTCCTTCAAACCTTCCAAGAGGTTCCCTGACATTTAATTCTTCAAGACAAGCCAGCTATGCACTTAGGAAAATGCTATAAGGATACACCCATGAGCTAGAAGGGATGGCAGCTACCAAATGGAGGGTCACCCAACATTGCTCTACCTCCAAAAGCAGGAATTAACCAACTAAAGTCAATGAGAACTACTCTGATGCCAACCCCTGCTTAGTCCTACACTCCCATTTAAGTCAGACTAGGTTAAAGCATGGCAAGAAAGCTAAATAAAGCATGTT